TTTTTTTTTTTTTTTTTTTTTTTTTTTTTTTTTTTTTTTTCGCATTCACTTGCATTTGCTTTTATTCTCTGCTCCCTTCTGATCATTAACAATTTCCTCCACTGCTTCCTCCCCTCGCTTTCTGGCCCATGGAGGATCCGTCGTGAGGACGCCCTCTCCCATCAAGTCGGGATTAAACCTCCTCTCTCTGCCACAGCTCCGCAACCATAGCCACATTTCATAATGCATAACGCTATTGTACCTGTGAACTCGTTCCAATCCAATCCGATTTCGGTCATCATTCAAGCTCGTAATTTGCTAGTTGTCTTCTGATTTTGATCGTCTTCTGTTGGCAGGTATGAAAAAGAAGGGAAATCAACCAAGAAACTAGAAGCTTTTTAAAAAGAGATGTAACTGGCATAGTAGCGGGCAAACTGCAGGCTGCAGTGCGATGCCTCAGCGCGTCAAGATGATCAGAGCCCTGATTTGATGAAGGGCTAAACTGTAGGGGAGCCATGTGTAGAGTATAATGTTACGTTCTGAAGGGGAGTTGGGCACTCAAGGAAAGGACAAGAAGACAAAAGACAACAAGGGACATAGTAGGGGGAAAACAAAATCGAGGGATTGAGGACGATATCATGCTTCTGATATTACCTCATTTTCCCTTCCATTCTTACCTTCATGTTTATATGGATTTCATCAATTTATTTGATAATTGAAGTGAAATTTGACTTCTAGGATCCCTACTCTGTTCTTGTTTCTTTTTTGTTTCTTCAATTCAACAATTGATAATTGATATCCACTTAAAATTGAAGTATTTAAGTATTTTTTTTTCAGGTACTAAGATTAAGTCTAAGAACAAACATTGATTATTATCTCATAAAGGTAAATTACTTAAAAACACAATTGATGACACCATTTTAAATATTTTGATATCACATTGTTCGATGGACCATGAAGCTCTCGGAGTAAAAGATCGTCGACAAAGGCGTTCTAGTGGGTCATAGTTTTTTATCCAAGGCATTTGATAATGCCACCTGAATTACTAGAAGCCACCTGAATTACTAGAAAGATTGTAAAGTAGATGTAAAGTAAATAGGTAACCCAATAACAAAAGTTTACTAAAAGGGCAGGGGCAGGAGCAGGCTACCATGAGAAGAGTCTATTTACCCTTGTTTCAGTAGCGACCACTTTGACTCTGTATAATATGACAGGTCATTACAGTGTGAGAGATGAATACATATAGTCAATCGCTTACAAGAAAACCCTCCGTCGGTACTGAAACAATATTACACAACTTCCTAACATTTAGGATCAGATCCTGTAGCAAGAAAACAGAAGTGTGGACAACAGCTAGCTCAAAAGGCAAATTGTACAAATGGTCTCACATAACAAAGGTCCCATGATAAGGTTGCATAACATTCCTAAGAACAAATAGAAAGTTGTGATATAAATATACTTCGACGTAAAAATGTACACTTACTATTAATGAAAGAGTGACACAAATGTATCGGTACGTTATTAGACTACATAAGAGAATGGGGGAAAAAAACTATCAAAAGAATGAATAATCAGCTGAAAATGCCCTCTTAATACTTACAGTATGAAGAATTCCTGGATTCAATCAAAAGCTCTGACAAAAAAACGATGCTGTATCAGTAAGTAGAATTGCATTCCCAACTTCATGATGCCTTTTGTCTCTTCTTCAATGAGGATTCATATTCTAGCTCTATTCCCTGTTCCAGCTCCTTTTCTATCCATGCTTCGCTGTCAACATCCGAGTTCATTGGCTGTACCTCCGTTGTGCTTGTAGTTCTACAGAGTCGTCTTCTCTTTATTGCCTCTCTGATTTGACATAAGTTTATCTTTTTGTAGTCCTTAGACATAGAAATAGCAACAGTTTTTGACTGTTTGATCTGATCAGGATAATTTTCTTCAGTATTCTGACAAATCCCAGTATCACCATTGTCAATGGCACTACTTGAACTCCCAGTATCGCTTGTTTGGCAGGGTAAAACTTCCACAGGACTAATGCGGTAATTCACATTTTGCTGATTGTGGCATCGACTAGGCGTTACAGACTTGTTGCAGTCACTGGCCTCCCTAATGGCTTTGTGACTATCGAGATGATCAGAAATCGTCACGCTTGATATACATGATTGGGAGCTATCAACTCTTGTCTGTCCATCTAAAGCTTCTGGCTTATGATTCTTCTCTTTTGAAGGTGGTAGGCTTTGTTTTCTATCTTTCTCAAATAACTTCAACATTTGCTGTATAACCTCTGAAAGGAATTCCAAAGAACATTTAGTAAATGCTCTCAAGTAGCAACAGTAAAATAGAGGGGTAAGAGGCATATGTATATAATGGGGAAAATGGTACAGATAACTTCCATTCCCTTCCCTTATTTAGAGAAAAATATATCATTACCTACTCTTTTACATTGATTTACTACTGAGATATCATATATATCATGCTCATTTGAAGCCAAAAACTAGCAAGACAGAACAAATACGAGTACAAAGATCAAGTTTAGCAACCTTGTAACTGTTTTGGCGAAACATCGAACTCCATCCACCAAGCCTTTCCCTCGTTCGAAGGCAATTTTACTTTTTGAAATTTGGAAGCAAGGAATATCGAACCTGCAGCAATATAATGGGGTTTGTACTCCAAGCACAGTGTTGTATAAAGCCTACAAGTTTCATGATGACGACATTAATCTCTAAAAGATGATCCTAGTTTGATGTAAACAGAAACTTGATGAGTAAGATGAAGTCCTTTACCAATCATTTACAAAATTCCAAGCCACCTTCCCAAGATCCGCAGCCATTCCCAATTTTTTTAAAGTAGCAACAAGTGGCTTGTAGGGAAGCTGAATGTCAACATCAAATGCAAGTGTTGACAATATAAGCCTCTCACTAATCAAGACTAATTCCTTTTGTTTGTTGAAAACTTCCTACAGGCATAATGTTGTATTCAGCCATCCGATTATTTCCTTAAAATATACAGAGTGATCAACCACTTAAACATAAATGTTAAAGAAGATAATAGGCAGCGTACGTACTTTTTGTCTAATTCTTTTAGAGGCAGAAGAATCCCGTTTGAATATCAACTCAAAAGCCACAACGACGACATCATTCAGAAACCGTGGTGTCTCTTCAATCTTACAGGCAAGAAAGATACCTGCTGTTCCGATTGTCTGACAAATTATACATGTTTTGAGTTATAAGACAAAATCCCATCCAATTGTCATAAATCCTTTCCAGATGATGTGGGTTGTGATATTAAAAAAGAAAAAAAGAAAAAGAAGATTTTGAAAGACCTTTTCCTTATTTAATCTTTTGCTTCAAAATTACGTTTTTCTTTTCAAGGAAAAAAATCAGGGTGCAGCCCCGGGAACTTAAAGATTTTTCGATGTCTATGGAAACCTAATAAAGGAAAATGAAATAGTTCTTCGGATCAATGGCTATTCTGTTATTCCTAGAATATGGAGTGAAGGAAAAAAAAAAAAAAAAAAAACCCAACTTGTAAGAGGTAATAGAAAAGTTACCAAAAAAATCCGTTTAAAGGAAACATTTCAAACCAAAATCTCCCCTTCCACTACTCCCCCTTTAACCACTTCCTCTAGAAATCTCCTGTCATTTCTCAAAACACAATCCAACCACTCTTGTTAACTCCTCCATGGGGATGTTCGAAATCTGTCAACCACCCAAACTAATAAGATTTGAGTTTCCCCCCACCCCCC